AGCGCGAAACATTTTAAAGCCTCAGCTACAGCATAATTCCACGAGCCTCATATGCATACATATTTTATGTGATATTATTTGAGAGACCATGTATAACATTGCTGAAAAATTACCTCATTAACCGAAAAAAGAAAATTATGATGATGAATACAAAGTGAAATTGCGCATTTAAATGATAAGCCACAGCTCGCGTTCTCTCGCTGAATATTTTATCGTCACACATATATTTCATTCCCACACTGTGTGAGAAATTTTCTGTTGAATTCAACATATTTCCACATCAGGTTCCAATTTATCTAATTTTTGTGTTAATTTCACACGACAAATACGTAAACAAATAACATAAATAACATATCGAAAATTAACGCACAAAATTGTTACAGTTGCATACTATCGTGTTACTTTGACATTTGGGAACGGTAAATTATGAACTCAAAACGCAAAATAGAATAACACTGCAATATGTCAGATTAGCACACGAATATGACGAATTTGACACGAAAATTTCCACACTGAGGGAAGCATTACTTTAAAATCAACAAATATTTTTTAATTGGGTGTCATTAACATATTTTTACTTAAATCTAAATTCTCTTTATTTAAATCAAATATTGTTTAAGTAAACAATATTTGGTTTAAATAAAGAGAATTTAGATTTATATAAATAAATATATTAATTTAGATTTATATAAATAAATATATTAATATATTAAACATAAATATATTATTTATATAAATAAATATATTAATATAAATATATTAAAGAAATATTTGTTGATTTTAAGGTAACTTTTTCCTCAGTGCACGGATCGATTTCAACATAAAATGTTTTCCTTTTTTCACCGTGCGTAAGTATCACGATTCGCGAATCACACATTTATTTCCGAAGCCTCCTTATACGCGGGATCTTGAACGCGCGTCTATATTGCAGCCCCAGCGGATAATCCACCGCTGACGGTGCAGCTCTTTTTGTGCGCTACGCCACTCTAGCGGTCACGTTGAGGAAGATCGATAAATGTCATTTGAAATCCGCGATCACTAGGTCATCCGGCATCTCTTCTTGCTCGTCCTTGGTACACGTTCTGCCTCGAGTGGCAGCGACCGCAGCTACCGGTGCAGTAAGAGAAGTCGCGGCCAACGAGCGACAGTTCTATATTCTGCTTCTTGACCTTGTCCCAGAGCGGGCCCCGCTGCCTCGAGCACGCGGAATAGGCCTCCGATAGACTGCTAATGTCGTTGAACTGTTATTTAAACACGACTTGGAAATTTCTGCATTAGCCACACGTGGATGGCGAGAGCAGCCGTTGGAGATACGACGATGATGTGAAACTGGGAGTCAAAGTACAGTAAATTAAGGACGTTCAAGGCATATAACAACGCTCGTCAATGTTGGAAGAATTATAATGCATTGAGAAGCAAATACTTGAAAATTTATTTGCGGGATATGTTTGTTTTACAGAAGTAAATTTTGTTTCTTTCTCAGAAACGAATCTTATATCCTACAAATAAATATTCTATTCATTTATTTATTCATTTATTCATTTATTTATTTATTTATTTATTATTTTTTTCAGTGTTTGACAGTGTTAAAATACGCGCCGAATAGATTTCTCGGTCTACATAACGTACGCAGTGAAACAATCTCCAACGGAGACAATCTACCCTGATTGCTAATTTCTAACATCAACATTAATTGACTCCCTTTATTTCCTCATGATTATGCATTATTAAAACGGAATCAAATAATACGTAATCATGGGATAATAGAGAAGAGTTAATTAATATCAAAAATTAGGAATCAAAATCGGTTTTTGATGTGGAAGATTGATTCATCGCGTACGCTATAAAAAACTTATTCAACGCATACGTTAGAACCGTCTAATATTATTATCTTTCAACCTTAATAAATATTCGCTCTAACATCAGCATTTGGCTTTCACTTGTCTTGAATATTCTTAGTTCAAAAATAGAAGTCTAACCTGAGATGAAGTCTGTGGTTGCGTACTTGGCTCGAATCTCATTCGTCGCTTCTGCGAAAGCTGACATGCAAAGGTCCGAGATGCATGCAAATGCGCGTGTATTCGACGGCAAGAGGAAACATCCGTTCGCAATATCCAATATCTGCCTGCTACATCTAGTTCCTCTATGTGTATCGCTCGCTATTCGAGAAAGTTATCAAAGACGCGCATCCGTCCACGCGGGACTTCTATACCCGCAACAGTTATGCAAGATGCGACGCGCTCAATAAAGTTGCGTACCCGAGAACTTCTATGCACTCGACGCCGAGCACTTTCAAGGAAGCTGCGGCGCATCGTGCTTTTGTATCGGGCGCGAACAATAGTTCGAAATAGGCAGAGCGTATAGCCCGAGCGCAACACGAACGTCAAAATAATCTCAGAAATAAATCGGAAAGAAGTTCCCCAAGTCTCTTCGGGTGCAGCCCTTCGTACGACGCTACGATGCGCTATTGTGCGAGGACGCGGAGAATATTCAGAGCATGCAACGTCGATAGATAGGGGAGATAGTCCCCTATAATGACAACGGGACAATCCCATCCGAGGATGATCGTGTCCTCGAGCGAACACTCGAAAGCGAGCGGCGGTGCATCGATGACCTGGAATGCGAAACCAGAATTCGGTTGACAAGTCGGCCCGGGGATAGCCTTTTTGTTCCTCGTGATACATCTTCGAGCGCGTTCGACGCACCTGTCGCGTTGCCGAGATGCCATCGTCGATCTCGGATCGTCACCGGCACGACGATAGAGTAGAAATCACGAGGGGGATTCTTATCCTTCGGACTCGCCGGGTGCAAGTGTTATTTTGAATTTACGCGGCTCTCACTCTGAACTTCTCGATCACTCCGAAACGCGCAAGTGATGCGAAACGACCTTTGACCAAACGTCGCGACATAATGAGGTCGAAATACCAATGCCCGAACATTGTCTGATCCTGGACATTCTTATTGTTTTGATCCTTAAATATGAACATTTAAACTTTTAAAATAAGAAAAATATATGCATCTTAAATGTACATATATATGTGTGCGTATATATAGGGTGGCCCAGAAGATCACCTTCATAATCTCTCGTGAGGACGTAGAGCGGATTGAGATGAACACAAAAGTCCATTTTGCGATATTTTTACAATAAATCTCAAGATATTAATTAACCCTTCGTATACACACTTATTTTTTCAACCTTCGCATACACACTGGGTGGTTGCTACCCATGACAATTTTCAAACAGTGGTATTTTTTTAAATATTTATGCTAAAATTTTGAAAAAATGCATGGAACTTTAATGTTTATAGAAAGTATTTACATACTTTTGGTATTAAAATTTAAGAAATTTAAGAAATTTTATATTTAAAAAAATTATTATATTTCGCGATTTAAAAAAAAAGTGAGTTTTTGCAAAAAATGTGTAACTTATAATTTATTTTCACTTTAGACGGCTGCCAGAAGCTAACTAATTAGCTTATTTTGCTAGTAGAATCAAAGTATAGTTAAGGCCCGAAACTACAATTAGATAGTGACAGTAGTTTCATTTATTACGATACTTAAGAGGTACAAAGCGCTGAATTTTAGTTATGGGTGATAACCATCTAATATGTATACGAAAGGTGAAAAAGATTAATGAATGATCACGCGCGATATGGTAGATGAACTGCAGTGGCGTCGTCTACCGTTGTATACTTACACATTAGGTCGAACCGAACAAAAAAGTCCTCTACCATTTTGCAAATGATCACATAGATTTTCAGATCTTAATTAAAGAAAATTTGTGCATTATGGTACACAATTTTGTAACAATTTTCTTTGATCATTCACCAATCTTTTTTAATTAATATCTTGACTATTATTGCGAATATCGCAAAATGGTATAGGACTTTTATGTTCATTTCAATCCGCTCTACATCCTCAAGAAGAAATTGTGAAAGTGATCTGGGACACCCTGTATATGTAAACATAACATATATGAATTTTCTTATATATCAATACTATGACCTTCTAGAAAACTGAGCTTTCCTCCTAAATCACCTTGTATGCGTATATTCTATATGTTAAAAGAATTCAGATATTCATATATAAAACCCAAAACAGTAAGAACGTTCAAAATTAGGAACGTGTCTGAGAATTGATAATTTTATCTTACTTGATGAAAATTCGACTGACTATGCAAATCGCCCTTTAATCCTCTCACTTTTATCATTCACATTTCATCGCTCCGAGGGCGTTTGAAGTGAATCAGCGCTGTGGGAATTTATAACACATACACACAGACACTCTCACACGCACGCACGCACACACGTGCGCGCACATTTAATATTCCATGAATTCTTCGTGAATAATAACGTTATGTAAATCGAAGTTACCCCAGAAGGTATCCTGAGGAATTATGACACTTACTATCGCGAGATCTTCGCACGTAACGTTTTACTGCTCATCCGTAGTTTCACTGAATACGAAAGAAAAGGAACACGATGGGCTACAGTATGTCTGTATGTACTTACGCATGTATGTATGTATGCGTCTCGTTTGTCTTTGGAAAGATTAATAAGAAAGGCGTGCGTCAGCAACGGGAAAGTGAACTAGAAAGGAGCACACACGCGGGCGCGAGTGCAGCAAACAATAGACAATAGACGCGACGAAAGAGCAAGCGTAGGTACTACGCGTGTTGCCGCGATAGAACTCTCTTGATAGAATTGTAAAATTTAGCAGTCTATATTGCAGTACCGCAGTAACTGCAGCAACAACAGCAGCAGCAGCCCACGTAGTAGAGTGGTGCGGCTGACTCGTTGGCGGGACTTGCGTGACTCTGCGAGATCCACCTTCTCCTTGAATGAAAAATGCTGCCCTGAGTAAAAACACCGGGGAACACCGATCGGTTTGCAGCGAAAAGAACACGTGCAATCGAGAGAATAGATAATAACGACGGCTGTGTGTGCGAGACGAGTTTTCACTCGGCGACTCTCATTAAATAACAACGTTCTTGTTTTCAGGGATCAGGATGCGGTGGATCGGTTACGTGGCCACGATTCTCTGGTGGTCGGGCATCGCCAGGTCTCTCAGCACGCTGAATCGAGGTCACAGTCAGTAATATTCCTTTTGGTGATTTAAACGCACGTTTCGGTATCCGCGGCATCTCTCTGTGGTGTCTTTCGGCCGCGGACGCCGTCTACCTTGCGCACCTTGCCGTCTTCCGCGTGTACTTTCGAGTGATCGCCGCAGCTGCCGTCGTTCTCTCCTCCTCCTCCTCCTCCTCCTTCTCCTCCTCTTCCTCCTCCTTCTTCTTCTTCTTCTTTCCCCCCGGGTTGTCTCGCTCTTCCTCCCTTTGCATCTTTCTCCTCGGCCGAAGGTTTCCCTTGAATGTGTAACGCTTAATTGGAAGGAGAACTCGGTCAAGGTGCAGTCGGTCGTGCACGAGCGTGAGAAAAGAAAAGCGAAAGAAGACGCTACTTTCTTTTTGTTTCGATGAATCCGACGAAGGGAGAGAAAAAAAAGAGAAAGAAAATTAAAGAGAGAGAGAGAGAGAGAGGGGGGGGGGGGAAACTTTATCCACTTTTAACCGCTCCCAGATAATTGGCGTACGCAATCGGGTGTGATCCTCGCCGACGCGGGTCTTAGACGCGGTGCGCGCTCGCGGCCGCAGAATACGAGCGCGTTGCAAATCAGGTCGTACATGCTCGCGATGACTCCGCAATCAGGATAATCGTCAACAAATTGGAATACAGCAGCATAACGTTAACGCGGCTTTCACGATCCGCGGTACTTCCCGCGACGAGATCCCGCATCTGCGTATCTGCACGTATCGAGAGCGGAGCGATTTCCGCGCTTTTCGAATAGACCAAGCAAACACGCGCGCTGTGCGATTCCCTTTTCTCTCTCTCTCTCTCTCACTCACTCACACATACACACACACACACACACACACACACACACACATACACACAAGCCAACGCGCTTGCCTTTATAACGTAACGCATCCGCGCTGTGCAAGCTGACACGATCGTGTTTCTAACGGAGAAAGCGACTCCGACGAAGCTGCCCATCGCACCACGATCGTAATTCACGTTAGCCCGTGTCTTACCATGACTCGGTTAATGACTCGGCCCAGGTCTACGTACTCCTCTTCCAGTAATTAAGTTTCATTTTTTTTACACGATCTCTCACGCGCACCTCGACAAGTAGTACACTTTCACCGAACTTGACGGCGAGATTAGACTTGGAGCGTAACGTCTATGACAGTGTAATTGTCGATCACAACGTGACCTATCGCTCCGTTGCCGTGCGACACGACGTCACGCGACGTTATCCTTTAGCACATCCATCAAACCTAATGTGTATAATCTCGCCGGCCGCAGCCGACGTTGCTTTCGTCTTTCGGCGAGAGGAAGAGAGCGCGCGAGAGAGAGAGAGAGAGAGAGAGAGAGAGAGAGAGAGAGAGAGAGAGAACGTGCGCAGAAACGTCAGTTTCCGAGCAATTAGAAGTCGTTAAATATGCTGAGACGGTAATTGATCGGCTCGCTTTCATCGCGCATCTCAAATAACGCATTTCCGCCGGCTTCTGAATTCTGACGCGAACCGAATGTACCTGAAATTAGAAATTAAAATCGGACAATTACATTTGACAGTAAATTCGCATGAAGCAAACATTCATTATTCATCAACTTTGAATCTCTAATATCAAGTAAATTCGGGACTCTTATTCCGAGCTTTCTTTTATCGATAAAAGAGTGTCTCGAAATCTACTTATAAAGATCAATCAGAAGGCTAAAAGCCACATTTAGAGGCACTTTCTTATGATAAAAGAGTTCAGAATAAAGCTTTGCGAGCATGTATTACACATACACTTACACTCTTTGCAGCCCCAGAGAGCACAAATTACTAAAAGATGTCTTGAAGGCGTCCAAAAGACGTCCTATCTTCTTTAGATTTCTTTTCGACGTCTCTAAAGGGACGTCTACATTGGAAGTAAATAGCAAGAAGTAAGCAGGAAGTAAGAGTAAGAAATTGACCAACCACAGTCGAATGTGAGAAGAATAATCAACTATGATTGGTCAATTTCTTATTCTTACTTCCTACTTCTTACTGCTTACTTCCAATATAGACGTCCCTTAAGACATCTTTCGATATTGCGCGCTGCCTGTGAACACAAAACGCTGAAAATAATTGACCTGGTCTGATGCAGGTTACAAAATCAGCCCAAAGCCCTGCAAAGTGCCCGGTTCTGAGGGTAAGGAAGGCACGTGCATGTTTGTGTGGGAGTGCATCAAGTCCGAGGGCACGCACGTGGGCGTGTGCGTGGATACTTTCATGTTCGGCAGTTGCTGCGTCCACAACACGACGGTAAACGCAATAAGCTCGTCGCAGCAGCATCCTCATCAACATCATACTCATCCTCACCATCATCAACAGCAACAACACGACAATCTGTCGAGTACGCATAGGCCAACCCTGCTCTCGGCCGGGAACGAGTCGACCAGACTGACGTCAACCTCCCTCTCGAGCTCTTCCTCGTGGATGGCGTCGAGCACGGCTAGACCGAGTCTCCATCATTTCTCAGAATCTCACAGTCCTGTCGAAGGCTCGACCAGGCCGATGAAACCGAACGGGCTCGCGCGACCCTTGCAGAAGAGGCCGCACGCCAAGCCGACGTCCGAGCACGACGTCGACAGATCGCAGACGCCCGCGATACCCGCCGCGTCTCCGTCCTCGTGGGGCGAAGAAAGACCGCAGGATAACAAGAGACCCGGTCATCCGCACCAAAAGATCAGGCCGGCAACGGCAAGCGAGAAGCCTTCGTCTAGCCCGAGTCAGCCGGGCTTCAAAGATAAGCTGGACGCTGCTCATAATATTTTAGCGGTACGTCTGCCGGCGAAGGAACACGCGTCGCCAGAGAACGAAGTCGCCGGATCGACCTCCAGCAAGCCGAGCAAGCCGAGCAAGCCGAGCAAGCCGAGCAAACCGAGCAATCAGAGGCCTTTTGAATCGAGACCAGATGATGGCAAGACTGAAGACGCCGATCTCTCCGTGCAGGAGACGATACACCGACCAAACGTTAACTCCGTCATGGAAAGTGTAAGGATGAAGATTGATTTCTTAATCGCGTCGCGTTTGACATGGAGCTTAGAAGTTTTCTTTAAATTCTGATAATGTGAAATTATATGTTGAGTAAATCGACGTTACTACAAATGTATGATGAACGTTGATATTAATTTATGTACGTAATCTTCCATGTAATGAATTATATTGACGTTACACTACATGTTGAGTAAATTAACGGAAAGCACTCTCTAATTTGTTACGTTCTAACGTATTAGCGAGAGATGCTGAAAGCGATATTCCACGAAAGAGTGTTTCTTCGAAACCACCGTGTTTCGTGTACGGCAAAGCGTAGCAGCGGATAACAACGGCTGTTATTTTCCGCGCATTGCGGGCGGTAAGCTTAATGGGATATCGATTTTCCGCCAGGAAACGGCGAAAGAGCCCCATCCGAGTTTGAATTTCATACACACCGAGCGACCGCACTGGGCGACCAAACCCGCGCAGTCGAAACCGACGACGGATTTCTCCAAGCCGTACTTCTCCATCAAAACGACCACTTACCGGCCAATCTCGATAAGTAGCCAAGCAGATCATCGGCCGAATTTCATCTCGAAGCCGAATACTTGGTCACTGTCCACAAAAACGTCCACGACGACTGCTAAGCCGACGTATATGAAGCAACCTTCCACTAGGTATGAGATTTGCTTTCGAGTCGCGTCATTTACTGCATATTTAAATTTTATTCTTTGAAATTTCCATCGCGTTTCGCGGACGTATACATTTCAATCTTATTTTTGTAATATGTATGTATAATTTGTTTTTCCATTTTTTACATGATCTTATCGTATACTCCGACATATACGTCTTTTTTCGGTATTACATTTTTTGTCATTGTATTATGGCGAAAAAAGAAATTAGCATCATTTTGTTAAGATTAAGTGTCGAGCACGTACACATAGAGAAGTATCACTCTACTGCGAAGAGAAGCGATTACTCAATTTCTTCTTTTGAAGTAATCTTTAACAGAGGATCTTTTCTCGATAACAGTCTTAAAGTATACTTATCAATTGAGAAAACAAAGAAAATTGAAAGACACTTATTATCACGTACTTAAGAGAAGAATTAATTTCCTTTGCAAGAATATTATCAAATTTCACTGAAGAAAAAGTTGGTTCTCGTTTCTGCATAATAAGCAAATCGAAATTTGTTTCAATTTGATATTGTTGATTGAAATGCTAAACTAGGATACAGAATCTACTTGGAATAAATTTGATAGCTATGATGAATTAGATTTTGCGGATGTATAAACTCATGAGACAAGTTACTTAAAACGAGTTATTTGAGTGTAGAGTTTGTGTCTTTCTGTGTGCGTCGTTACTCGGACTCAACTTAAAATTTGTCTTTCATTCTAGCGCAGCCGGATCCATACCACAAACCTCTCATTGGCAAGTGACCACAGAACCGGCGTTCGTCACGAAGCAAAAACCCTCATCGCTATCGTCATCATCGTTCTCATTGCCGTTTTCGTCGTCGTTATCGCCTTCGTCGCCTTCGTCGTTCTCCTCGTCCTCATCCTCATCTTCGCCGTCCACATCATCGTCATCCAAGCCGATAACCACGATTACTGCATCAGAGACCGTAAGAGTGCCACCTTCAGGTACGAGCTCTCATTTCTGGTCAAACAGCTGGACACCGCCTAGACCGTCCTTGAAACCGCATTGGACGGACAATCCTGGTCTTCTGCAGAACGGCCCTGAAAACTTCCCGCCACGACCGAGTTTCAAACCGACCGAATCGCTGCAAGTACGTTTACGTTTCCTTTCTTTATGTACAATATAAGCATATTATATAAGTCTACCAAAAATCTTTACCTCAGGAAAATGCTTCAATTTCACTAGTAATTGTAATGTAAAAGTAGCGATATGATCATAATTTTAAAACGTTACCTTCTGGGACTTTTGATAGATCTTAAACCCGGACATTAATATAAGGTTTTCTTGGTAAATTCAAAATTGCTTTGTAGGTAAAATTAATATCACTTAGATATATTTATATATATCAAAATATATCTAACTATTCGATATATATATATATATATATATATATATATATATATATATATATATATCAAAATATATCAAACTCACCATCTTAGCTAATGTTTGAGTAGTATTAACGTGCTGCTCTCCGATGGAGAACTTTGCTACTATATTCCCATGCAAAGCAGGGGAAAATGTAATTTACTGAGATATTATAGTAGCAATTTAGTTATAATAACATTGACTTTGTGTGTGTGGGTTTGTCGCATTAACATGTTTCTGCCCCTGTTTCAGAGCACCGAGTACCAGAAACCTCTGGGCTCGGCGCACTACATAACGACGTCCCACTTGGAGACTTCAACTAGGCCGCGGCCCACGAAGAAAACCACAACGCTCAGCACAACGTCGTCCACATTGATGTCCTCGACCACCACCACCACCACCACCAGCAGCAGCAGCAGTAGCACGGCCAGCCCGATGACCGCGATGGCAACAATGACGACTACGAGTAGCACGACAAGCGCAAGTACCGCGAGTGTCACCACCACGACGCAGGGACCGTCGACCACCGGCGCCGAAGTAGCGGCGAGCGAGAAAACAGGTTCGGTGATGACGGTCGCAGCCGCCGACGAGAGTAAGGGCATGCAATGCGGCGTGCCGCCGTTATTTCCTCGGCCGGAAACGAGGATTGTCGGCGGTAAGGACGCGCCGTTCGGCCGGTGGCCTTGGCAGGTGTCTGTGCGCCGGACCTCCTTCTTTGGCTTCTCAAGCACCCATCGGTGCGGCGGCGCGGTGCTCAACGAGAATTGGATCGCCACGGCGGGCCATTGCGTCGACGAGTGAGTTGCTGCTGCATCTCGAGTCTTTTGTCCGCGGAGCCGATATACCGTTAACATTGTCTTCCTTTTTTCGCGCCAGTTTGCTGACGTCGCAAATCCGAATACGAGTCGGCGAGTACGACTTCTCGTCGGTGCAGGAGCGGCTGCCCTACGTGGAACGCGGCATCGCCAAGAAGGTCGTGCACCCGAAGTACAACTTCTTCACGTACGAGTACGACTTGGCGTTGGTGCGACTCGAGAGTTCCTTGACCTTCGCCGCGCACATCTCGCCCATCTGCCTGCCGGCCACGGACGATCTCCTGATCGGGGAGAACGCGACGGTTACCGGCTGGGGAAGGTTGAGCGAGGGCGGCACACTGCCCTCGGTGTTGCAGGAGGTAATTATAGCTTGGCTCTCTTGTTGAGTCGCCCACGCTCGACATTTGTACGACCACTGCTCTGGCTTTCCAGGTCTCCGTGCCGATAGTGAGTAACGACAGGTGCAAGTCGATGTTCTTGAGGGCCGGCAGACATGAGTTCATACCGGACATCTTCCTCTGTGCCGGTTATGAGACTGGCGGACAAGACTCCTGCCAGGTATGTACAAATGATCACTCACAATGGGAGAAGAAAAATGATTTATCTAACTAAAACGATAGTTATTTCTGATCCCAACCATATCTTTTCTAGCAAAATGGTAGATTATTATTGGTAATAGGTTTCTTTATCATAATTTATAGTAATTCTCCATGTGATTATAATTGCAGACACCAGCAATTTTATTCTTAATGCACACTCTCGTTACATTACAATAAACATTGTAGTAAGCAAATTAACATTATAGAATTTTATTTTAAGAAATGTTTTTCTTTACCATAATTTATAGTAATTATTTCTCTATGTATAATTATAGTTACAGATATTTTTTCTCTTTTCTGTATGCTCGTTCTTTGACATGGCAGAGACTATCTCTATTCCAATATTTTTCAGGGCGATTCCGGAGGTCCTCTTCAAGTTCGCGGGAAGGACGGCAGATACTTCCTCGCTGGTATCATATCCTGGGGCATTGGATGCGCGGAGGCCAACTTGCCCGGCGTTTGTACACGGATCTCTAAGTTCGTGCCGTGGATTTTGAAGAACGTCACCTGATCTGCTTTACGGAAGCGGCGGATCGAACGCGAGGACCGTAAAACAGCGGGAAAATCCGGCGAAGTTTTTTCGCGTGCAAGTAAGCGATTCGTAATGTGTTGTGAACTGCGCGATGTCAAAGGGCGCCATCCTACTTCCTGGTCGCAAATGTCTTGTCTCTGTTATCATTTGCATTTATTTATTTGCATCTACACTGCCGCTCACGAAATAACAATGTGGTTACACAGAGAGAAAGATATATATATATATATATATATATATATATATATATATATATATATATATATATATATTCCGCACTGGAAGGAAAGTTGAGACCTCGTCATCTATCATCGTCGAATTATCAAATATGTTCTAGCGACGTATGCGAAATCCCGTGCATTGTAACAGCACACACTGAACTGTATTTATATATAAATCTAAGTAAGGAAATAATATATTTGCTAGACTAAGGATAGTTAGATAACCGAGGGAAGTCTGAGTTGTAATAAAGAGACCGAAGGAGTTAGACCGATAGACTAAAGGGTACGTCGTTACCATTGATGTCACTTTGCTCCGAACATGAACGTTACGACACACAAAACTTTCGAGCACATCAATAGTAAATCTACTGCAAAGTTTATGAAAACAATTTTCAAGTCAAGCAGCGTAAGCTCTGCGGGCTCGAGGAGTTTAACTCCTCCAATAGTCAACTTGACATACTGAAGAAGAATTGTTGAAAAAACTGAAGAAACCGAAGAGAATCACAAAGAATATGGTATGTTTGAATTTTTATAATTACCATAATTTCATAATTTCCGTAATTTTTGCAGCAAACATACGATGAACACCTTTGTTATATCAATTGGGAGAGTGCATAAAAGTTCTTGCCCTTTTCACTCTACAGCGTGGAATAACTCGGAACGTTCTTCCATATGCTCAATCCTGCACACATTTCAGGTTACACACTGCCTCTCTTTCTTATCTTTATACTTCTTTATTTACAGATAGGAATTTTGTACAGAGCACAACGTTATAATTGCGTATGTTTGATAATAGTTGCGTGCGAGCTAGGAGAGGAGAGAGGAGTCTACATTATAAAGTATAAAACTATTTATAAGTATCGCCAAATAAACGAGTGTTTATTTAAACCTTAAGTACCTTAGATACATCCTTATAATATTCTCGAATTAAGCGGGTCGTCCACTCGACCGGCGATCAGACTCACCGAAGTCTCGGTATCGACGATGAAGTAAAGGAAAGGATGCATAGCCGTGAAAGGCACAGGCCCGGCTCTCTCGAACAGACCGTTACCTGAAAGGATTCATGTCGATCTTGTAAAATTGCCTGACTACTTCTATTACGAATGATCTTGAATTTGTTTTTTTTTTCTTTTTTTTTTTTAGTAATACGTGTGGTTTGTTCAAAAGGTATGTTATATTTTGCACGAAGGCAGATATTGAATAGTTAATCATACATGCGTTATGGACTAGTATCGGCGCGTTTACAGTGAACCCAGATTCTCTGTGAGGAAATCTCATTACAGAGAATCTCCCGTTGAATGCAGAAAAGATGTTTCATTGCAAGTATCTTTGCTTGTATAAGTACCATCCCTTCAACCGTGCATAACACAAAGTCTATTTCTCATGCAGCTCTACACAATGCGAAGGAATTGGGAAAAAATTTTTAAAGCAGAATACAAAACATTATCCAAGAGGTATGAATACAATTAATATGATTAGATTAATTGACGAAGAAAAAAAATTGGAAATTTCAAAGCGACTGACTAATAGAATCCATTTGTTAGCTTTTAGATTCTGAGATCTTCGGTTCATTAACTCTTAGACAAATCGGCACACTCTTCCTTTCACCGAGTTGACAAAAGTTCTTGTTCAAGAATGAATGCCGAATGAAATTCGGTATTATTATGACGGTAAGTTTAGTAGAGAAGAGAAGCGACAGTACAATAAAAAGGATATTCAATTTTTTTAAATGGTCTTCGTTAGTGATATCGCTATTCGCTTTTCTAATTACATGTAAAATGAATAATTTTGCCATAGTTTTAAAATATTGACACATACACTGTCTTTTAAAATCTATCAATGCTATTATCGTCTTTTTTTATACTAATATATTAATTACGCCGTAGCCACGGAGATTTTACAGTTATTAATTGAAGAAGATTAGTGCATTAGCGCGCGCGCAATCATCCACCAATCTTCTTTAATTAATAAATAAAAAATCTACGTGGCTATCTGCAAAATGGTAGAGAACTCTTTTGCTCACACTGAGAGAAAAATGTTTGGTATTTGTAACTATAATTATATAGAAAAATAAGTACTATAATTATAATTATGGTCAAGACAACCATTTTTTAATCAATTGTACTACAATTTTAGTGGTAATAATCTTATATGCATGTTACTACTTTTTATCTTCGTGTTAGAATAACCAGAAAATATAGTTGAGGCCCAATTTGACGTATATATTTTTTGGTTGTTACAACATGAAGATAGTAGTAGTAACATACATATAAGATTATTATCACTAAAATTATAGTACAATTGATTAAAAAATGGTTATCTTGATCATAATTTTTAGTAATTATTTCTCTATATGCTTATAGTTGTAAATACTAAATATTTTTCTTTCAGTGCAGTTTAACCCAATCTATACGGAGAAAAATAATTTTGCTCTTTTAACAAAATCATCGTTGCTACTGCATATTTGTAGTGACATCAAAAAAATTTAGTTGACGTAACTAATTTTACAAATTATTCGTTATTAGAGCAGAAGTAATTTCGTTGTCAGGATAGAAAAAATTTGTTGAGTGCATTTATCCTAAAAATCATGTTAATATTGATGAAAAATAATGATTCTTAGCAAATTTATTTGCTGTCGGAGCAAAACTGCAACTGCTTATATAAATTCATCATGGTTTTTATAGCAAAATAATTGGTAGATTCAGCAAATTATATCTAGCAAATAGTGATTAGTACTCTTGGTAAATCTTTTTGCTGTCCATATAATAGCGAAAAGATTTTGCTAGACCAGCAGAAAATTCGCTGGACCAGCAAATTATTTTTCTCCGTGCACGAGGTATGAAACACTTCGCGTCTGACAAAATGATTTCGTATGCAAATCAAAGTCCAGTAATTCTTTTAATATCTCACCGAATTACATTCTTCTTTATTCGAGAGAAGGGCATTTTTAACATGACCTAAAAAATGATGAAAAGAAAAATTTCTCAGAAAACGTTTGTAACGCCACAACGATTCAGGAATCCTCGGTGAGTGTAAAAAGAGATGGCGCAAGGTCTTTTTATTGACTTCCTTTGCGGACTCGAGCAGGATATCAGCAATTAAATTCACTGAACTGAACAACAATACTGAGAATGTTCCCGACGATAATCGATAGTCTTGCTCAGTGGCGAGAAAACAGATTTTGCACAGCTACAAACTCACGGCTCGAACTCACGTACGTTGTACGGTACATTTGCATATCCTGACCTGATAATCAGACGCGTCGAATTTCCCAACGATCTATCCTATACGGAGAAAAATAATTTTATTCTTTTAGCAAAATCGTCGTTGCTACCACATATTCGTAGTGACAACAAAAAAATTTAGTTGACGTAACTAATTTTACAAATTATTCGTTATCAGAGCAGAAGTAGTTTCGTTGCCAGGATAAAAAAATTTATTGAGTGTATTTGTCCTAAGAATCGCGTTAATTTGCTATCGATGCAAAATAATGTAGCAAATTTATTTGCTATCGGAGCGAAACTGCAACTGCTTATATAAATCCATCATGGTTCTTACAGCAAAATAATTTGTAGATTTAGCAAATTATATCCAGCAAATAGTGATTAGATACTCTTAGCAAGTCTTTTTGCTATCCATATAATAACGAAAAGATTTTGTTATAATAACGAAAAGACCAGCAGAAAATTTGCTGGGCCAGCAAATTATTTTTTTCCGTGTACAAATCCTACACGGAAAAAGGGTTTGATTGAATTAATCAAATATCTGGTCGAATATGAACGATCTAGATATTCCGATTGAAGTAACCCGATTCTGTTTAAGTCAACCAAAAATCTTATTAACTTAAACAGAATTCGGGTTACTTCAATCGGAATTTCTGGATCGTTCATATTCGACTAGATATTTAGTTAATTTAACTAAACCTTTTTTCCGTGTACGAATTTACTCTACAAACAGGATTTTTATCTTTCACAAAAAAATGTACTTTCAAAAAAAATATTTTTATGACCGAATTGTCACTTCTTTTTTTCTCGAAGCGCGTGCTGAGGAGCTCCAATAATTCGTGTAATTTCGCAAGTCCTTTAAAGGACATTTAATGCCCGGCACAGATATCGTGACAGACGATTAGCTTATTTGACGACCGCGTGTCTTCAGCAATGTCTTAATTGTAAATAAGAAATCGGAAGTGTTTTCGTGTAATTGCGGGGACGCGCAACGACGGCTTCGACGGCGCTCCGAAGCGCGGAAACGGACGCTTGCGTTACTGTCGTTGACGACGACGACGTTAAGTAATAACGATTTAGCGGAACGTGAGGAGGAGGACGGCGGTGGATACCGGGCGATAGCGGAAAAGAGAGAAAAGGAAAACAGGAACGGGCCAAGTACGCGCCAGTAGTAATGGCCAGCCATCGTCGGACACGCGTTCACGACGCGTAGAGGAACGGTTTACAAATAATGCGCACATTTCTGGAGAGCACTCGAGCCGTGCGCGTCACATCGCAATTTCACTCGCTAATGCCGGATATTGCGTCAACGTAATTATTTCTTCGAACATTATCTCCGACGCGACTTGACAGACGAGGCGTCGCTCCGCTTTTCCGCTTGTTTCCTCTCCCGCGAATCAGTCGTCTGTGTATGTATGCGTACGTATGTGTGTTTAGTCTCGTTAATACCCGATTATTTGAACACCCGGCACGTATCCAGATTCCAAGGGTAATTTCAGACGCTACCTAAACTCTTCAACTAGATTGACAGACGGATACTCAGAGACCCAAGTCTGTACTCAACGACAGTACCATACCTACTTTATTTGCAAGCAGGAGGAAGCAATTTATAAACAGCAAGAAGCGAGGAAAAATATACAACTTAAGTGCGAAAAAGTCACGTGAATGCTAAGAATTACGGACATGTAGCGCTGTAGAATTATACTAATTGCGCTTTTAAGTTGAGGATGTACATATTAAGGCGCGATGGATGCAGTCGCATGAGTGGAAACGATTACCGTTAGGGGTAATTGAAAAGAGGAGTGCGATAGTGCATTAAAAGCATAATAGAGTAAAAGAACCTGCAGATCGATATCGATAATAGTCCCTTCGAGGTGGAACGATCGAGGGGGATTCGACATTAGACGACTCACGAGAATGGGTTCGGTCGGGTTTCATATAATTCCTTATATTGACCCCTATACTCTGTTGCACATCCCTGGCGTATACGCCGAGATCAGCTGTCATGGGTGATAAATCGGCCACCCTCGGCTCGAACACGTCCAAGATTCCCAACTGTGAAAGAAGCAAGATGAATGTGATCGCGTGGATCTTGACAAATATTGACGTAAATATGGGAATAACTCATGTATCCCTCTCTTCTGATATTTCTCTCTCAATTTCAATATTTCTTAACTTGCGAAATATTAGGAAGTATCCTTTCCGCAAATAAATATCTCTCTTAGAAAAATATTTTAATAATAATAGATAAATTAAGGTATTGTATGTATACTGAAAGAAAAATACCTAAAAACTCACTTGGGGGATATAAAGTTTATTATTGTGAAACAAAATTTATTTCCAAAAATAAACTTTATATCCCGCAAATAAATCTTTAAATACATATTTTCCTCCCAGTGTACACACAATATCTTAATTTGTCCATTATTTTTAAAATATCTTACTAAGATTTATTTAAAATTTTAATTGAAAATTTATTTGTGGAAAATTTACTTGCGAAGTTTATTCACAAAAGGAAAATTTGTGTTTTACAGAAATAAACTATATTCCGCAAATAAATTACTCAAAAATTTTTTGTGGGATATAAAGTTAATTTACAGAAATAAACTTTGTCTTACAGGAATAAATTTTACATCCTACAAATAAATTTTCAAATATTTCATTTCAGCGTTAGTTTACATTTTTGTTTGAATGGCATTTAAACAAAATTATAAGTGTCCGAATTTTTATGAACTCGTAACAAGTTATTTGCTTCGAGTTCGCTGGAGTAGAAATAAGGAAATGAAAAATTACAGAAGCTACACAGGCTACTGCGCGCGATTCGTCGTTCGTGACGTGTCCAATGTTTGTAACATGACATTGGCAGAGTACGTTGGCTTATACTCACCCTCTGTAAAAATGACGTAAGTGTGACAAAACCGCGCAACATGAACGAAGGTATGGTGGCCCTGACCCAAGTAGGTTGTAATCGCTTCCTCAACGATCTCAACGACTTCCCGCTGAGATCTCTCGCCAGACGATGCGTGTCCGTTCTATCCGTTGGCATGAGGAGTATGATATTGTATCGCGGATCCTCAAATATTAAGAGAATAATAGAGATTTTTGTGTGACGATCATATCGCTGCAATTCGTATTTCTTATTTAACTTTTAAAGCGACTGACTGCAGTAGAGTTGCTTTCGGAGGTACTCAGATACCTCGTAACTTAAAAAAGATTTCTTTCTCCAATTTAAGAAAATTAAGGCCCCCCGCATTGTCTATCTCTTTTTTTCTGACGTCAGAAGCGAGAAAATGCATGCTAAAAATACGTTAAAATAAAAATATATATCCATAAAGTAACACTTGCAATCGATTAAACAAACCTGTAAGATATTCCGTGCACTCTCCTCTTGCTCTAACAATCAATAATTTGTCGTAAATTAACGTGACATACAATTCATTTTCTTAATCTATTTCTTCGTCTATTTTTATTCAGATTAATTTACAATAAATTATTGATTGTTAAAGCAAGAGGAGAGTGCACGGAATATCTTACAGATTTGTTTAATCGATTGCAAGTGTTACTTTATGGATATATATTTTTATTTCAATATATTTCGCAGGAATTTTTAGCATACATTTCTCGCTTCTAACGTCATTAAAAAGAGATAGGCAATGCGAGGGGCCAGGAACTTTAATTTAGGAAAATTTGAACATTGAATTTAAGGCAAATTGCTCCAAGTTCCGAAAAACGTGGCGCACTGGACCATTCGTTTAGACTTACGTCCAAGGGAAACTCGAGCGCGACAGCGTGCAACGACGGGAAGTACGCGAAAGGCAGCACGGCGATATATCTGGAGCCTGAGACCGAATAAATGTCGCAACCGTTCACCAAAAACGCTATTTCCGATGTAGAATCTTCAGAGGATTCTCTCGGACTCATCGTGCTATACGACTTCCAAATGTCTAAATCCTGCATCCAGATGCCTTCGTCTGAAAGACAGCAATTCGAGTTCCATCGATCCAGTCGTTTTATAAAAACATTTTTTTAACATAATTATTGTACAAACGGCACTCTCCAAATTTTTCAAATTTTTTTTCATTGATGGAATATTTCAATCGTGTTAGAATACATGAAAGAAACAGGTTGGTTAACATGAATTTGGTTGTAACGAGTAAACCAACGTGTTTTGGTCGTAGGAAATGGAATTCCGGATTCTATGGAACTAAATTTAGATTATAAGAACCACAGAAATTCAGTATCTTTCAGCCGCAGCGCGTTGATTCGTTTTAAAACCAAACTTCGTGTTAATAGCACCGAATCTTTCTTTCCGTGTACAATTAAATATTAGGATACACTGAAAAGAAAACATTTGAAAATTAATTCATAGGAAGTTTATTCGCAGAAATAAACTCTACATCCCATAAATAAATTTTCAAATATTTCTTCTCAATGTACACTGAGGAAACACACTTGAAAATTTCTTTCACATAAAGCTTCTCTCTCTCTCTCTCTCTCTCTCTCTCTCTCTCTCTCTCTCTCTCTGTGAAATAAAGTTTATTTCTGTGATAAAAAGTTTATCTCTGTAAATGTGAACTTTATATCTCACAAATAAATTTTCAAGTACATTTTTCTCAGTGTACTTTTCATAAGAATGTCCGTCCTGTACATATTCGCGGTTCGATTCGTAGCACCTGCGACACATATATCGGAGAGAGATACTCGATAAATGAATGTACCTGGATAACTGGAAAAATACCCGCGCGGGCTCCTCGTTCTACGTTTGCGAAGTTCCGCCGGTTCATTGCTCGTCGACTCGTCTTTAACGGTGTTGTCGTTCGTTACATCCCTCATCTCCGATTCTAATTCGGTCCGAATCGATTTCTTCTTCCGACTCATCGCGATGGTATTTTCGTCCACGACGAGAGACGCGACTGTCTGATTATCAATTGCCGCGGCAGCCGCAATCGTGAAGTTATTCGAGTTTCCGGCGAGGTCGTCCGAAGTCCCGTTCGCCGCTGGGACAGGTGATATCACTGTTGTCGTTTCTGGTCCTGCGGGGCTAACCGGTGCCAAAGTCCCATCGGTCATCGACGCCGTCGTAAGATCGATCGTGATACCCGTTCCCGAGGTTTCCCCGAGCGGAATGCCCGGCGTCATTGACGGCTCGGTATTCCGCTGCGGGACAATGCTGTTATCCATCATCGTCCCGCTGGCGGGATTCGGGATAGTCGCTGGAGTTATCGGTGTCACGGGAGCTGGAGAATTCGAGATAGCGGTATTCGAAATTTCGCCGGTAACGGTGTTGACGACAATCGTACTGGCAGCTGCCGTCGTTTCGGTACTCGTCTCCACGGCCGACGAATTCGGGCTCGTCGCGTTCGTCACGACCGGCATCTCCGTGTTCGCGGCAAACGTAGAAGGAACTTCGGTATCAGACCCCGTCAGTATCGTCGTACCCACGCCGGTCGGTACTCGAATACTCGTGTTAGGAACCGCCGGCGTGTTTGTACTCGTATCTCCCACGTTTGACTCCGTGGTAGCCTCGTTCGTCGCGGTATCGCCGGCGGCTGTTGGCATTTGGGGATTCTGATTGCCGGCGACCACGATCATGCTCGCCGTGCTCGAACTAGTCTGGCTGTCCATCGGCGTCGTAGCCATGCTCGGTGGTTGGCCCGCGACGTTTTCCACACCAGTGGACGGAGCTGGCTGAGCGCTTTCGCCGGAGGTGACGGTAGTTAGGGAACTCGCGGGCAGCGCCGGAGTGTTTTGAGGAACTGGCCCGGAAGTGCTAGCCGGAGCTGATGTTGTTGGTACATCGGCAGCCATGGGTGTCGTGACAGTTTGCTGAGTGGCGGCCGCTGCTGCGGTCGACGGCGCGATCGTCGTTTCAGCGGCCGTAGAGAAGAGCGTAGTGGCGTTCGTAGTTAACATCGCCGTGTCGGTCGCACTCCCGGTGCTCGTCGTCTCGACCGGGAGTGAAGTCAAGTCGACCGTGGAAGTCGGGAGCTCGGTCGTAGCCGACGTGTCCTCCACGCTAACGGTAACGTTCGCCTCTTGCTCGATGCTCGACAGATCGAAGCCGTAAAACCTCAGAATGTCCTCGTACTCGGGCCGGAGTCTGGTGTTCTCTCGGCTCAGCGTCAGCCCACCCAGAAATCCGTCGGCGTTCAGGTAGCTCTTCAAATTAACGTCGAGATGTGAATGCAACAACTAATTGCTCGTAATGCTCTCTATATCCTGAGTGAAATCTACAGCAGTTGCGGATTTTAGGAGACCAGATCGTTCAGGATTTCTCAATCGCTGTTTGAACTTGGATTTCAGTTTGTACTCTATCCTGACAATGTTTAATATGTCTAAACAGAATTCAAACTTGAATCCAAGTCGAAGCTACTATTGGAAAATCTACTTTCTACAATCGCTGTTTGAACTTGGATTTCAGTTTGTACTCTATCCTGACAATGTTTAATATGTCTAAACAGAATTCAAACTTGAATCCAAGTCGAAGCTACTATTGGAAAATCTACTTTCTACAATCGCTGTTTGAACTTGGATTTCAGTTTGTACTCTATCCTGACAATGTTTAATATGTCTAAACAGAGTTCAAACTTGAATCCAAGTCGAAGCTACTATTGGAAAATCGGCTCTAAGTCACGCAAACGTGAGTAAAGTTAAATTCGTATAAGAAAAACGATGCTTCTTGAAGAATAAAACGCGATAAAGACGCCTTTAGTCTTGAAGACGTGTGAAGACCAAGGGTGTCTCCCGTATGTCTCCGACAGACTTTGGACATTCTCGTTATTCGGGATCTTACTCTCAATCGTCGATGAATATCCCTGAAGCCGATCCTGGTGACGTCCCGGTTGGCTGGTAATCCCACGGCGTCGACGATCTGTTGGCTGCCTCTGCCAGCGGATCCTTCGTAGAGCGCAGCCAACACGAAAGCAACCCCCGTGGGCGAGAACGCCACGTTCCCATGATTCGAATACTGCTGGAGAATCTTCACCCCAAGATCGTTGATGACGTCGGTGATCACGTCGACTGGGCGCTTCGTGTCCCCGCGATACCAAGTATCGTACGTGTAAGCGAACGTGGACGATACTGCTGCAACATCGACAAAAATTCAGCATCTACAAAGATTAGCATCGGCGACAACTCCGAATCTACCGTACACGCGAATTTCAATTCGTTAACGAATCGTTCGCTCGCCAATCGAATGAGCTTCAACGAATCCTCTTTGCCTTCAACGTGACCTTGTTTCTTTTTTAATCCAACATGATAAAATTCCTTTTTAATCCCCTGCAGTCCCTGATGAACCAGTATTAATGAGAAGACGGTACTTCCTACTAATCTATTCGCTCCATCTTGGTACTCTTTTACTTCAGAAACATAGAGATGCGACGTGAAATGTTTCTCTCGACAGAGAGGAAGGCGTTTGATTTTCAAACTGGTCAAGCCTAACTTGGCCGACCACCTGATCGGACCGATCCACGCTAAACACCGCGGTATGTCGCAAAGTAATCAAAACGGCCTTACGTACGCTGCAATATTACGATCCAGTGTAACGGCTTTCCCATCGTTTCCGGTCGCTGCTTCCTCGCTGTCCGATCGTTGCGCCGAGCCGGAGTCCGGGACGCGATCTAGCCGGTTCTATTAGGATTAGCCTTAGTCGTTCGCGCTCTACGTCGGAACTGGCTCACGTCGGAACGCGCGGGTCAGGTACGCTAGGCCGCCAGCTCGCCGCCGAGGTTTGATTAAGACCCGCTCGAGGCCCGTCCGAGGCGCGCTGTGGGCCCGCTGGAGGTCCGCTCGAAGCCCGCCGATTACTATCGCAACTTCTTAAGTGCTAAGGTCGTAATCCCCGTTAAATCGCGCACGTAGCTTCCCTCCCCGCCGCCAGTCAATTCCTCTCTTCCTCTGTGTATTTTTACATAATTCCATTCTCGCGCCGAGAGCGAAAACGTTACTGTCGTGTTCTCGTAATTACGTTTTCGGTATTCGCGCGAGGCGCGAATTTCCAAATGCCAAATCGTTATAACCCTTGCGCCTTGGGTGTGCCATTTAACGTTAACCTTCCAGCCGTGCTCTGAATCTTTTTTCACCAAGAGCAGTTCCAAAGTTCACACAGTGAATTTTTGTAATATTCTAAATACAAATGTGATACTTCGCGATTTTTCGGAGTTATTTTTCAAAAAAGTCAGTACATATTGTACTAAATTACTTTATATAATGCTGAAATAAAAGATATAAAAACATATATGTCAGTTAAATAGTGAGTTCTCACCATTGGGTCTATTTAGACTCTGAACATGATCAAAGTATACCCGAAACGAACACGGCTAGAAGGTTAAAAGAGATAAAAAGAGAACAGGTGGGCCAGATGATGAGTTTCAGTGAATAGTCACCCTTTAATTTTATAACTGTAATAATTATAAATTTAGTAGCGTTGCTTGAGTTTCAAAAGAAAAGTATATTCTTTCATATTATTTTATATGTGATCGCAAAGATGCTAAGAGAGACACTACCCAGACAGCACAAATTACAAAAGGCTCGCCTACGACACGCGGAGTAAGCTTGGTGGAGTAAGTTGGAGTAAGAAATGAAAATAATTTATTTCGCTTATGCGCGCGCGCCCTCTATACTCTAGCCTCCTCATGCCGAAAGTATTTCTCTTACTTAAGAGAAACACTTCCGATGTAAAGAAATTAAAGCATATAGTAAGCACCATGAGCGAAATGAATTATTTTTATTTCTTACTTTATCTTATATGTCTCAGGGCGACCAAAAGACGTCCAAAAGAGGACGTCCTTTCGAGGTCTTTGAGACATCTTTTAGTGATTTGTGCTGCCTGTAGTCGGACACACCGGTCCAATTTACATTGTGCAAATGCAGCACAGCGCAAATTTTCTCAACGAGAAACGGCATTCCTCCGCCCTTCGCCGATCGGCGGCGATCGACGTGCACGTTTATCCTCACAGAACACAAATGTTATCCGAAGATATGCGGATATCGCGCTCGATAACGGTAGTAGCGATCGGCACGAAGGCGCATCAAGTGAGAAGATCTTGCTTTCGACTGATCCGAGTGGGAGGATCTCCGCGAATAAAGCGTTACGTAATTTTGCGCGGCGGCTTTTGCCGCGCACCGTCGCCGTCATCATCGCCATCGCCACCGCCATTGCCTCCGACGTCGGCGACGTCGGTTACGGATGGTTGCTAAATGCAGAATCCAGGATGCCTCTTCGAACTGCCACCGTAACAATGAACCGCGCGAGTCATTATTACGCGCACGCCGCGGCAGAATCCGTGCATGCCTCTTCAGCCTGTTCCGTGCCATTGCGCTCTGTCCGCCGCGGAACCGATCATTACCGATACCGTGTATACGATCAGCCGTGCAATCGCACACGGCCGCGTGTACGATCCTCCGGCTCTCCGACGATACACCGTGTCGTTCACCGAGCATCTGAAACGCGCGCGGAACGATTTCGTGACAGGTTGATGATGATTGATGTCCGATTTGCTCGAGCGAGCTCTGAACTATCGGCATCCGTTCGCGAGCGATACAAGTTGAACCTATCAATTGGACGTAGTTATGGTATAACTGCCCATTTTTTGGAAGCTCTTAGTTTCACGTTGCGAAACCGACCGCTAAGCGTGTAATTTGCACGTAAGATTAGAACCAACGTGTAGCGGCAGCGTTTAGGATTAATTGCTGAGTGGATCACACTCGCAATGTAATGAGACAGTAGAATTTTATTTGCAACATATATTTTTTAAAAAGAAAATTTATCGTCGGAAAAGTATCTAATGTTTATAATTGATTCTAAATTGTATACATTGGGAAAAAATACTTCAAAATTTACTTGTAAATTATAAAGTTTATTTCTGTGAATAAACTTTATATCACACAAATAAGATTTCAAATATTTTTATATCAGTGAAAAAAATAGCTGAAAATTTATTTATGGCATATAAAGTTTATTTACAGAAATAAACTTTGTTTTACAGAAATGAACTTAATATTCCACAAATATATAAAAATTTTCAAGCATTTTTCTCTCTCAGTGTAGCTCGAACAGATCGGTTTTGCCTCGGGATCTACACTGGTATGGCCTTGCCAGGAACAAAAGAGCTGTCTGAAATGTTCAGGTTAGTTGTTTCAACGGCAGAATGAATGATTTAATCGTTACGAAAGAATAGACACCAAAAAGAATAAGATATATCGCACAAGGTACATCCTCTAATTAAACCGTCGTTAAGTTTTAGTCGAAGGATCGTTACGCTCATAATAGAACGGTCCCTTTCAGTTAACAGCGGGTGAGCGATAGTAAAATCTAATTGCATACACAGAACTTTTACTAACGGCACACGTGTTTCACAGGCGAAGCTGGAACGTCCGATCTGTCTTGATTCTCAATCGAATTCAAGAGAGGAAAGGCTCAATTAGCTTGCGCCGCTTCGCTACTTGATGTTTGTGCCAGAGGAACTCGCAGCACAAGAAAAATATGGATCCAGTCACGCCTGAAAAGAGCAAAGTGAGGAGAATCGCCTTACACGCGCGCGCGCGAGCTATTATTATTTCTCGTACGATTAGCCCGTGCAAAAAACGTTACCCATGAAAAGCACGAAAAATATGCCCTGCATGTCCGACACGTTTACTTTGCGCTCCTCCACGGCTTGATTGACGGTATTGTCCGAGCACTTGTCTTTCGCAGGTATTTGCTCCGATATCCATTTGGTCATCAGTCCGGACTCGTGCATACGATGTAACCTGAATGACAAAGTTGATTCTTGCAAAATGACAGATTTGCGAAAGAGCTACAGCGGCCTTGTCGCGATATTTATTAATATATCCTGGATGTATGTAATCCCAGACAACATAATGTCTAAAATCGGGACATAAAACGTCTTAAAGATTATCTTTAAGATGTCTTTCAGACGATTTATATATAAATGTCTTTAAGGCGTCTTAAAGATCATCTTTAAGACGTCTTATGTTTCGATTTTAGACACTATGTTGTCTGGGATAGCACAAGCCACACGAGAATATTCCTCGCGAGAAAGAACATAAAATAAATCCTAGAGTGGTAGAATAGAACAATGTACGCGTACGATTGTAAAAATGTGTCAAGATACAAGACAATTGCGCTTTGAAAAATCATGCCATGAACCGTCTTTTGGGAGTATATTGTGTCCGCTAAGTAATAAATTAACTCTTACTCTGCGTTGATAATTTTCGTGTAAGGACTATCTTGCCCGATGATCATCGCGATGGGCTCGTCCATAAATTCAGCAGTGCTCAGAGAAAAGGAGCATCCGCCGGTTGATAACATGTCGGTTCTCATCAGAAACCTGCTCAGGCGATATGTCATTATCGTCATTTTTATCGGGCGAGCTAATTCGTACTATGACGATATATACAGAGAAAATATTGCAGTAAAGTGACAATAAAGTTTTCGCAATCTTGAACAGCATCATGGCCGAAATTACTTGTTTAAACATGTTATGCACGTTTGACTTTTTACTATAGAATTATTATAATTGAATTTGAATACTATTTTATATCGTATGTCAAATAAATCGTCAAATTTAGTATTTCTATAGTAATTTATACCACAATTTCAATATAGTCTAGCTTTACAGAAAACATTGTAAAAAAAAATACAACTTTGACGTAATATTTACTACAATATTTTCTTCGTGTTCATGATGAAGGATTGAAATGAGGATGCCCGAATATATCTCTCTCTTCTTTACAGAAGCGTCGCACAAATTTTCGGAAAAACGTCATACACTGAGAAAAAAATTTATTAATTTCAAAAAACATTTGTTTGGATAGTACTATGAAGATATTTGGTCAAGTAATTATTTTCTAAAATTAAATAAAGAAGTTTTAAATATAAATTTGTTAATTTTAGAAAATAATTACTTAATTTAAACAAATATCTTCATAGTACTATCCAAACAAACGTTTTTTGAAACTTGGTAAATTTTTTTCTCAATGTAGTGTTTGATGAGACAACTATATTTACTCGATCAAGTATTATGCTTGACTTCTTCTTGGCAATCTCTCCTCATATATCCATAAGCGACAGAGATATTCGGCTGTCCTCGTTTGAATGGTCCGCTATGTATATCGCAAGATTACCTCAACGTGCTCCTCCAATCGATTATCACGTGTTTGCCGGCCTTCACCTTTTCGAGAACTTCCACTTCTTGCGTCTCATTATAAATTTCGGCGTATTCCCACAAAGTATGATATTTCTCTTCTTCTGCATTTTTCAGATACTCCTCTAAAAAGCTGCCATTAGGAAAGCCCCAGGTTACTTTACCTTTATGAGCGACCAGTTCCTCCACCGTAAGAATGGCAACGTCCATATTCGGGAATGTCAGAAATGCGACCAAACTTCCGGAGTAAGTCGCTACTAACACCATAACGACTAACCACCAGACACCAACCAGCAAACGCGCGCTATCGCAACGGGGTAAGTACATTCCGCCTAAAATCACTTAAATGCAGTCTTCCAGCTTTCTCGAGAAATAAAAAATTTTTTTATAATTCGCTCAAGTATGCATTAACAAAAGAAACACAGGATAAGTCTGATGAAAACTAAAAACGACCAACAGAATAAAGAGTAGAAATGTTTTATAATGACAAAACAGCTTATAATTTAAAAATACGGCGTGGTAAAACTAAAATACCTCGTGCAAAATAAATATACCGGTATCAAAAGCGAAAGACGCTACCTTGCTGAAGAAGAGCTCCGTAGACGTACCATACGCATTGCCAGCACGAGTTGAGTCCTACCGTCTGCGTGCCTAGACTGTACTTGTGTATCAGGTACAAGATCGGGCCCATTATAATAATGGATGCTGCCAGGCAGGCCCACGTCTGGAAGCAAAACTAGCCCGCTTGAAGGCATGCATATACAAACGCGTAAAATGTATCTTATACGTGAAATAGATCAAACGTTGAAGGGAGAAAAAGAGAAGAAGAGAGGAAGAAAGAGAGGGAGAGGGGGAGAGAGAGAGAGAGAGAGAGACGGGGACATCGAGAGAAAGAAAATAGTTATTAAATATGTCTTTTGACGAAATCAATACCAAGTTAATTTCTGCTATAATTATTATCGAATTTTTGTTGAATAATTATTGTTGAATTTTCGCCTCTTCGTCGCTAATACGTTCGATCTATTGTCAGATTTCACTTTTCATCTGTTTACGTTTTATTTACTGAGTTTTGTAATTACTGAAGACGTAATGACGCTTTGCCGTGGAACTGAGTAAATTACCTCTTTGGCGAAGGGCGCCGTGAACAATAACGCTCTGGAAAGTTGGCCAGGCTTTGTGGTTAAGAAGCTATATGTCTGTATAAAGATTGGCAGTGTGAAGTTGATATCCTCTTTTCCGCGATCGTTCACGGTGTAGGCACAGGCTGCGAGAAGGACCTTCTTCATGCGGACCATGTCTATTATTTCCGACGGCATTTCTCTCGTGTTTGACTTTAACACCTTTCGGATGTGCGAAGTAAGTTTTTATCATAAAGCACTGAGCTGAATTCGCATATCAACTGGATATTTCACATTACGGAAAATTACTCGCGTCTTCTTAAAGATGTACATAACGCGTCATTCACTGCTAATCGAAATATTTCAAATGCGTCTCATAATTGCTCATAATTAGACGGAAAAGCAAAAAAAAGAAAAACACTTTTATTCATGTGACAACTTAAAATGGCAAGTATGAGTCCGTCATACTGATGGAGCATTTAAAGAAACATAAATATGGTCATATCTATACATCTTACCACTTCGGTTTTGGTCTCGTTCTGTTTGAATTTTATTACCCGACTGTTCGCTGGACTGATCACAGTGTATGTGAAGTTTAATTTTTGGGCCAAATATTTTACGACATCGAAAACCAGACCGCCGTATTCCTTCACGCCGGACCTGGCGAGCTGGATGGTGGACCATGGTGGATTCTGAAAGGACACGACTGACCCCTCGTACGATTTACACGGAAAACGGTGTACATTTTACATACGTGATACGTAGCGATCGGCAGACTGATCCCTCGGAATCCGTGAGAAATATGCGGGAAAATTACATCGGTCAAGTTCACGCCGAGACTGGGCAACCACGTTCCCGAATCTATCAAGTGCGCCGTACTCTTGCCACGAATGAAGAAATTCCCCCACGTTATGGCCGAGGCGAATCGCCAAAACAAGCACTTGCCGCAACCGCCGCCCGAAGCGAAAGTATCGTCGATAAGCTTTATCTGCAGGAAATAGTCGTAGCGCGTGTAGAATTTCCGTCAAAAAAAAAGAGAATCTTGACAGTGTAAGCGTGATACTTGGCAAATTAATGCTTCCAATTTTTCAGGAGATACAGAAATTCCTCAAAAAATATAAAACTATAATTACGCATTAAAAACAAGCATATTTTTTAATACGAATGAGATGTCATCGGAAATGTACGCAAGCCTAATTTCTCTTGATCAGTTTGCACTTGTATTTTTTAAAAGAGTTATTTTTCAAGTTACGAGTCATCATTTTTACACTATCGATTGAAATACTACCAGATATTTGAAGGTACAAACTTGAATATTTTTAAGAATCTCTCGATGCCGCTCGTGCTTGCTTAATCGAATAAGTTCGAATTCCTCTTCGTTCACACGATTGTACAACTCGATTTCGATCATTAATGATAATTTTATAGCATTGGTCAAGGCTATAGTTAACTCCTGGACATGACACATTAGCTTGGCCTAAAATACAATTTTCGTTATATTTTCCCAAAAAATATACAGAGAAGAAGAGAAAGAGATGTAAAAGTATCATCATGTATCGTGTTGATACATGATGATGTGTATCATGGGATTTTCCTTAGAGAAAAAATTCAATGATACAATCATTGAAATTGCGAGAGTATTTCTCAGACGATTAAAATATGTGCGTAATTAAACAAGAAGTAATGAAACAAATTACGTCGCAATACGTCTCGCTGTCGGTCGCGTTATAAGCGAAAGCCACGTTCACACCTTCCGATAAGTAATCGACGAAATTGGTAATATTCGAACCGTTTCGTGCTATGCTGTCGGCGATGACGTATAGCCATTGACTATCAGGCTGGATCATGTTCAATTCTCTTGCCTTGAGAAATATATCATATTAAGTAATTCGGAAACGTTAATAAATAAATAAAACGTAAGAAAGTACTAAATTGAAAGCGAAGGCAATGCAGAGCAAAAGTGAAGTCCATAATTTATAAAACTTGCTTTAAATGACGTTTTATGTTTGAGGGAATTTTACACTTCAGAAGCAACCTTATATATATACATATATATATATATATATATATATATATATATATATATATATATATATATCCTTGTGAAAAATTGCAGATTGATTACTTTACTTTTGCTCTGTCACTTGACTCTCGCTGAATCTCTTGAATAGATGCGTTTTAATAGTGAGCAAACTTGATCAATGTGTCTCTTACAACTTCCATAACGTCGGAAGCTGCGTCTATCGTGACAATTACAAGAAAGCATTTGCCTAACTGATCCACGTGAAAGCTCTCGAGCATGTCTTTTATGTAGAATCGTCTGTTACGCTGGGAATCGGCATGTTTGAAGGCGAACAACGATCTAGAGACCATGTTAAATTTTTTGTTCGGCAATGGGATCGATATAGCCTGAGTGACTTTGCTAATCGAATCTCTATCTGTAATTATATGAGATTATAATACGAGAAACACGTTTCTCGAAGAACAAGAGCAAGAACGAATTTAAAAGGAAAATTTAAAGCTAAGGAAAATAGTGGGTAATTATAAAACGATTAATTAAGTTGCGTCACCGAACGTGTCATCGTGCAATATGTTGATAGAGTTCCAGTTGAAAGCGTCGACAGACCTCAAATCGAGGAAAATCTGGGATAACTCTTTGCCCGCCGATATTAAAGGAATGCTCACTCCTTCAGTCTCAGAAAATCGCGGGCAATCTGGCTCTACAAGAGAAATATTACTGTCAAAATAGATAGAAGGGTAAAGCAGTCAAGTTAATTCTCAATTCTCGTCCATTAGGAATTTCTTATTTTAAGAAAATACAATCTACGAAATATGTTCTACATTGACACTTCGTCTGTGTCAAATTACTTGATTGAACGTATCACAATGACGTGACGCATTCTCGCGGATGGCACTAGATAACAAAGCGAAATTAGATAACGCTATTTGCAAGTGACATCTCAGTCGCTAAAGATATCACTGAACTATAATTGCGTAGTTTAGAGCAATCTCTATTCGTCTCGACAAATATAAAATGAGAACTACCAAATATGTATCTGTTGCACGGCTTTCCATACGTACCCGTTATTGCTAAATGCACGACTTCTTCTTTACTCGCGGCGTCGTGCAGACTCCACGTTTGCTCGCACGTTGCCACCGATAACAACGCCGTGAAATCTTTACACGAGTCGAACATTAAAAAAAAGAAGATATTATTACGTTAACTGACACACGTTATTTAGAATATCCTGAATGTACGACATCAATAATGAACGATGATAATATAGACGGTATTGGATAACGGTGAACGATAACGATACTTAAAGACTGATCTGACGTATTAAACTTAAAGCTCTTACCTCGCATGCTCTTAATTTTCGTATTACGGAAGATGCGCACATTTATATCAATCATTTGCATCTCTTCTCTGATGGTAGACGTGATGAACCCGTAAATATTCCTCACGGTGTTGTGATATTCGTGCTTATTGTCGAAGAAGCCCTTATCGATAACGACCGCTGATTCAAAGAACGTTTTCTCGTTAAACACAACGTTAAAATCACCCGCTAGAAGCGTAGAAAAATCGCGATTGCGTCGTACCCATCGTGGCGTTGGCAGACATAAGCGACGGGAACTCATTGAAAGCGTCACCGGAATTCAGGATCCACGCGAGGAAGAGGAAGGAAATCATACCCGTTGACAGATCGTATTGGAATACGACACGCGGACTGGTCGATATATAAGGGAGGACATTGCTCAATGATAAATGAGTTCATTACTTTCGATTCATAACTACCGCATTAACCGGAACTTCGTCAAAACTCGGTCGAAACGCAATCGCGGACTGAGCGCGTTGCGACTCATCGTAACATCGTATATCGCGAATTGAGGGAAAGGTCGATCCTTCAATAACTTATTGAGGAACGATCGAACCTCATCGGAACTTGAATAGAGTGAATCAGCGGCCTAGATGAGCAAAATCCCTGTGCGCGGCCGGGTAAAAAAATTATTGCAAAACGGTAAAATATTGCAGTCAATTCGATCAATTCGAAATTGGTTCGTGCAACATTGAATTTAGTTTGCTTCTCAGTTTTTCACTTTATGTCGATGAGACATAGGCCAATATTCTGAACTCTCTTTTATTGTTAAAAGCCTCCAAAAATATCTTATAAGCCTTCTGATTGACTGTAAGTCACTTTCATTAAAAAACGCTTTTAGCGATAAAAGAGACTATAGAATATGAGCCAAAAAGTTCTCGCAATGTTAAAAGTATACACAAAAAAAGATATACTGTATTCAAATAAATGTTACTTGCTTCAAATATTTCATAAGATTATATACCCGCAAATCTATTGTAAGTTCATCATAAGTACTCAAAATGCATTTTGAATCCTAGTAAGAGAGAGTTCAACACTTCAATCGAAAATATTAAATTAGAAGAAAAATGTGGATTACTTACTGTACACAAAGTAGAGAGAGAACAAATTTTTTTTTTTATAAAATTTTATCATATTCTTATGAAGAGAATAAATTATATATATATATATATATATATATATATATATATATATATATATATATATATATATATAATAAAAACATACGAAGAATGCAACAAGTAAAATATCAAATAAAGCACAATAGATTCTGGTTCTATTACATTGTTGTAATTACTCGATATCTTATGACGGAAGGCAAAGATGGAACGATAAAGTTATAAATATGTTTGCGGTCTACCACTTCTCTCCGTCCGATTTAACGTACGATAAACACATTACCTATTGTCTACGTTCTGCTGTAAATCCCTGCGCAGATGAAAAATAAAAATGAGAGAAACTCTGAGAGCGAAAGATTTTCTTTTATAGAAGATTTAAGATGAGTCTTTACTTTTGAAAATAATTTAAATAATTAATTTACATAGTTTTTTTGATTAGGTGCGCTGCGAGAACTTAGCGCACCTTTTTTTGAAAGTCTGTTTTTTTGTATTTAATGACCGGAACTATTTAAAAATGTTGCAAAGAGCTCTAGAACTTTTCAAGAGAGTATCAGAACTGCAAAAAAAATGGCACATTTTGAATTATGGTGTGCCAAGACTTGGCGCACCATATTTAAAAAAGTGACATTTTTTTTAAAGTTTTGATACTCTCTTGAAAAGTTCTAGAGCTCTTTGCAACAATTTTAAATAGTTCCGGTCATTAAATACAAAAAAATAGACTTTTAAAAAAAG